CAGTCTAGGTAACAATAAACAATTAAAGGGATAGAACTCTAGTCCAGCCAACAGTCTAGGTAACAATAAACAATTAAAGGGATAAAACTCTAGACCATCCAGCAGTCTAGGTAACAATAAACAATTAAAGGGATAAAACTCTAGACCAGCCAACAGTCTAGGTAACAATAAACAATTAAAGGGATAGAACTCTAGACCATCCATCAGTCTAGGTAACAATAAACAATTAAAGGGATAAAACTCTAGACCATCCAGCAGACTAGGTAACAATAAACAATTAAAGGGATAGAACTCTAGTCCATCCAGCAGACTAGGTAACAATAAACAACTAAAGGGACTACACAAGTAATGCAAGACAGTTCCCTTGAAACCTCCAGCTGAGTCTATAATTATTGTTACATTAGAGAGAAACCTCAAATAAAAATCATCAACTATTAGATACAGGGTGTCCTAATAAACGTGGGAATATCATGACGACTTCTATATCGACTGTTTCCCATGCAGGATTATTTTTGAACATCATTTTGTATTATTCTAGTTAAAACATTTAACACCGAAAACTATTAGGCTCGGGATTTCCAAAATTAACGGAGATATTTGGAAGTTCAGATTCCAGTTAATTAAAAATTAACAAAACTGTTCAAATTTTTAATATTTCCGTCCATTTTAAAGGTACAAAGAAATAGACCACATTTTGGAAAGCTATTTAATTTAATCTTTTTTTTTGCACGTTATATCATTTATTAATTATCGGAAATCAAAGACGATATTCAAGTCGTCTTTCAATTCCTATGTTCATTGGGACACCCTGTAGATGAAACCAATGATATCCCAACCACTTTGCTCAGACAGAGGTATTCAGAGCACTGTTGTGCTCTGGAGAGCCTTTGAAATAAGGTTGCTAATCCCTTTAATAATGCGATATAATCTGCTTAATAATCACAATCCAAACTTTTTCAATAACTTACGTGCTGATAAGGTTTGTATCCAAATCTACATTGAGAATTAAGCTGGTTAATGTTAGATCTGATCCCTGGAATTATCATTAATTTAATGTCTAATTCGTCAAAAAAGATATTTTGAAAATTTGAAATTTAAAACAAATATGGACACGCTTGTAGTCCTTAAACTGTTCACATTTTGTTAATTAAAATGAGAAGTCAAATTTTTATTCCAAAAACTAATCCTTTATAACTTTAATATCATTAAAAAATGGACTAGCTATAGATCATGTTAACTGTTTAACGAATGTTTATTGGCAAAAAGGAGATAAGAATTAAAGAATATCTGAATTAATGTTTTCCTTGATTTTAAAAACTTCAGCCACTGTATTTATTATCGGTTGAGAGTAATCAACCTAAAAAAACATATAAAGGATTAGCGTTTTCTTGAGTTATAGTTTCCAGATTCTAGCCAGTCGGAAAAAGTTATCAATCTATATATAAATTTGGCTTGGCTGTCTGTTTGTCTGTCTGTCTGTTTGTTTGTATCCAATAAACGTCAAAACGGCTGAACCGATCGGGCCCATTTTTTTGTGGGACATCACGTGACCACAGGGAAGATTTATAAATGATAAAAAATAAAAAAAATGTGTTTTAAAGGTTTTTAATTTGGTAAAAAAAAAATTCTTGAAAATCCGCGAATTTTTTTTTAAATCCGCAAACTTTTTTTCTTCTTTGTTTTAAAATGTAAACAGAAAGAACATGTTCACAATTTAAATAGAAGATGGGCGCGAAGCGCCCTATAAGCCTAGTATATATATACATATATATATATAGCTGAAGGTCATGGCGTAGCCCGTGGAATTTTCTTTTTTTTAAATTAATGAGTGTCAACAAAAAATTTCAGCCCATTATGTCCAGCCGTTCGGCCGGCTATAAACATTATATACTAGAAATTCAAGGCGCTTCGCGCCCTTCTTTCTAGCCTAAGAGGGCGCTTCGTGCCCATCTTCTAAATTAGTTGTGAACATGTTCTCTTTGTGTTCATCGTAAAACAAAACAAAAATAATTCGCGGATTTTCACAAAAAATTTCGCGGATTTTCAAAATTTTAAAAAATTTAATGACG